CCCCACTGGGCTGGAGCCCGGGCCCTGAGACCTGACTCCCCTCGCCGTGTCTCCGAGCCAGGGCTCCAGCCCCACGGGAACGGCTACCCCGCTGTTCTGTTCACGCGGTTTCTTTGGGAAGTTTGAACAAGCTGACAAATCCCTGCCCGGTAAATATCAGCACCGAAACAGTCCCCACACCAGGGAGCTTAGAGGCATTAGAGAGGAATCTAGCCATGGGCTCCTGCTACTGAACAGGGTGTTACGGCAGCGTGAGCAGGTTACAGCGCCCAGGTCGTTTCCCACACTGCTACTGGCGACCCGGCAGCGCGAGCCGGGGCACTAGTCCTGGGCTGTGGGACTCGGTGCCGGGGGTTTTTCCCCAAGTGCAAACGGACCCCAAGTCTCTGTCCGTGAGGCAGATCTCCATCCCTCCGGCCAGGGTCCAGGAGCGCCTGACCGCGCTCACCACCGAGCCCCCGAAGGCCCCTTGGCTCAGCTCCAGGGGGTTTCCGGTTCTGCCTGCGGTGAAATCCTGCTGTTCCCCAGCTGTGCCCCGCACCCAGCACAGGCCCTGGCTTCCCGAGGACGGAGCTGGCCAGAGAGACGGCAGAGCTGCCGGCAAGTCCATCTGTGCAGAAAGCCCAGCTCAGCCCCCCGTCCCGCCGCACACGGCACCCATAGCCAGACCCCCCTGCACACGGCTCCCGTAGCCAGACCCCCCCCCCGCACACAGCACCCACAGCCAGACCCCCCCCCGCACACAGCACCCACAGCCAGACCCCCCCACACACGGCACCCGTAGCCAGACCCCATCCCCCGCACACAGCACCCACAGCCAGACCCCATCCCCCGCACACAGCACCCGTAGCCAGACCCACCCCCCGCACACAGCACCCGTAGCCAGACCCCCCCCTGCACACAGCACCCGTAGCCAGACCCCCCCCGCACACAGCACCCATAGCCAGACCCCCCTGCACACAGCTCCCATAGCCAGACCCCCCCCTGCACACAGCACCTATAGCCAGACCCCCTCACACACACACAGCACCCGTAGCCAGACCCCACCCCCCGCACACAGCACCCACTGCCAGACCCCCCCTCTGCACACGGCACCCATAGCCAGAC